CAGCCAATCGCAGGCACAGTGAGCTGTCATATCCACCAATCCAGTGCATGTTGCTAGGGCTGGAGAAAAAACATCCCCTTTCCCATTAGCACTGTTCAGACATCTAGAACAACCTGCAAAGAGATAAACATGAGAACATCAGAGACACCATTAAAATTCAAGGGAAACCTGTCTCCCCTCGTTCACATTGAGACTGTCATGTAGACAAAAGGAGCAAGCCACCATTTTCTGCTGCATTATGATCGGATGCAAGATAGAAAGCATTGAAGATCTGAATATATTTGCCCTGGTTAAATTGTTCAGACAAGGCTTCTCAGCTGAAGATTTGTCACCTCAAAATATGCAGCATTATTTATTTCTATTCTATTGAGGCTTATTTAATTGATTTCGTACTCAAATCGTCTAATAAACATTCAAGTACAAGTTTCAAGTACAATTGGAATAGGATGTAATACGTCCATCTCTGCGACTTAAGGGCATTCACATTTAAAGTTTAATCTGGAGAAAGAAAATGGAGAACATTCATTAACACATTGTACCATCTGTATAAAGCCGAATGCCAAGGATTTGTGATGTGCCTTGGTCTAAGATCCCATCTGCGTAATGAAGAAATGACTTCCAAATCAATAACAGAATATGCAGAGATATACGTCACAAGAAACCATTGTGGCCCTAATGGTTACAGATGAACTCAAGTAAACAACTTACAGACATATTTAGAGGGATAGTTCACCCAAAAATTTAAATTCTGTCATCATTTACTCACCCACATGTTGTTCCAAACCTGTATGACTTTATTTCTTCTGTGGAACACAAAAGAAGATATTTTGAAGAATGTTGGCAACAAAACAGTTCTGGTTTCTATTAACTTTTAATGGATGGATGGATGGATGGACAGATTGATAGATTGATAGACAGACAGATAGACAGAAAGACAGACAGACAGACAGACAGACATATAGATAGATAGATAGATAGATAGATAGATAGGTAGATAGGTAGATAGACAGATAGATAGATAGTGTAGCGTCTGGACCAATCAGACACACAATATAGTTTTTGTTAGTTATATTTAACAAATACTCTGTAACCCCCCTCAGTTAACAAGC